CCCCACCCCACCCTCTCTGCCATACATTATGAACGCAGCAGAAATAGTACAAAATAGTGCTAACTAAACAATAGAAACCATAGAATTTGCATGAAATTGTGCTATTTTAATAGTTTTACTAAAGTTTCACGCTTATATTGTTTGCACACTATTGGTGTGTTTCTCATTTATATCAAGTCAGTCTCTTGAATCAATCAACTATATCATGCATGACTAACATAACATAAATTTTCGTATATTGCTAAGCGGGTGCTTGGATCAATAAAGTCTGAAAGATATTTTAAACAGCTATGGATGAAACCCAAGAACAGAAGCAAGTCAATGAAATCGCCCCAGTTGAACAAGTTGAGCAAAGTTTTATAGAAGGTAAGAAATAATCAAGACAATGAAGGTAATAAGTTTCGGAAAACCGTCAGATTTAGAAAACGACTTGGCAGCCATGTACTGCGAGGAACAAAACTGGTATGTCAACAAAACTTTGACTGGAGAAAAGCAACTCTTAATGAGTTGGAATAAAGTGCTATAATGAAGTGACAATTTATGGTAACGAGACGAGCATCTTACTTATGATTAAGCACGATCACATTCAGTTTCAGTGCATTCCCACTACGACATAAGCGACACAACACTTTGATTATGTTTACGATTATAATCTTTATTTCGCTAGTGCGTACGAGTGCTGTCGGTAAATTCATAAGAGCAGTAAGTCGTTGTGGAATTTGTGGTCGTCGTGTTGGAATTTGTATCTCTCTGTCTGTAGGTCGGGAGAGAAAAACAGCATGGGAAGAAAGATAACCTCTGCTTGCGGGTTGCAGTGAACATATTAGCTTCAAACTTAGTTTGAATCTGAATGATAGACTTTTCAATTAACTAATATAACTTAACACTGAATTCATTACCATTAAATTCCATTTAATATAGCGTATGAAAACAAGAATCATGAAGAATTAGTGTAATCTCCCTTGATGAGCCCGTTTATCGGCTCTTGGAGAAAACGCTAAAGAAAAATATGGTTGCAATAATTTTGCGTGTGTTTTTCTAATAAAATTTCATATAATTAAAAGTCTAGACTTATCAAAAATATGGTCATATATAAAAAAGAATTTTAACCAGTAAGACAATACACAAAGAAATGAATAAAATTAGACATATATCCAGTGAATGTAGTGCAGTGCAGTACACTTAGAGAAGTCCCATGTCCTCCGTCTGCACAAACCATGCCCATATTAGAGCAGTCTGTCGTTCGTCGCTAGTTCGTGGCTCCCATTTCGTCACTGCAAAGCCATGACGCTTTTCTAGAGGGCCTTGGAGAGTGTAGTCTCCCTCGCATCCGTTTTTAGTGTCGGTAAAAACGGATGCGAAGGAGACTACGGAGAGTGATATCAGTAACAAATTTTAACCTACCTCAACGTATTGGGATCCCTGTGGTATATCACTCGGCTGTCTCGCTGACATATGAACGACGATATAAAAATATTTCTTTACCGGTAGACGACATCTGTAACAGTCTTTTGTTCAATTCATGAATAGCTACGGAGAAGAAAATGATTTGCAAACGCTATTACAAGGTCACCAAGACATATAAATTACTTCCCAATCAATACTAGTATATTACAAATCAGTTCTAAGACCTTTAAAGGACACCAGTAATTAGTTTTGTTGCCTTCATATTTTGAAGGCATTTAGTTAAAAAGTTAATACTTAATTTTGACCAATTACATTCACAGATACGGACGAGTCCGAACGGAACGAAAGGAATCGACAAAAAATGCAGAATACAAGCTCTCCGGATCTTTTCTTCGTGTTTCAAGTAAGAACAATCTCAAACAATGAAAATTGTTTTACAAGCAGTATGCAACGAGTTATAAGGCTCGGTATTAATTTGAGGTTCAGAAATCATAGTTAATGATGGGTTGGATTTCAGCCCCTGGGTTATCGACCTCTTGTACAGCACGTCGGTATGTAGCTCAATTTGAAATTACAATAGGTTTCCAATTCTTAGGAGATTGAAATTCTTTTGTTCTGTCCTCCAAACAGATCTGCTTTTAGGTTAAAGATGAAAAGGTAAATTATACACCGTGAAAAGATGAAAAAACTTACTGACGTTTCGGACGCTAGTCCTTCGTCGGAGTAAAAGAGCATGTGAAAGAACATGTTTCCTCTTTTACTCCGACGAAGGACTAGCGTCCGAAACGTCAGTAAGTTTTTTCATCTTTTCACGGTGTATAATTTACCTTTTCATCATTACTGTTTCATTAGAAACACCGACGCAGCTCACACTAGTTTTTAGCTAGTTATATCTTTTTGCTTTTAGGTTACATGCAAGAGGTATATAGCAATTTCAGGCTTTGAATATTTTTAACTCTATTTCATTTCACATGCTCATTACGCTATTATCATTGCAAAAAATTATAATAATCACAATTTTAAAATCAAAATGAATGAATAAATAAGAAATAGAGTGTTTTGACGAATATGCAAATATTTTTAATTGTAATATTTATTAATTATGACACCACGGTTTTGCATGAACACATCGACCAAATGTTGAGATTTCTATGATAATTATGGGTCTTAAAATCTCGTTGCATGATCTTTTGACCTTTTTAATACAAGAAAACACTAAGGCTTACTGGTATCTTCAAATACCTATGGGAAGTGAAAGTAGGAGGTGTTGGTTAGGCCAACTGTCAATTAAGGCTTTAACGACTTGCAAGGAGTCATGAACTTCATGTATTCAGTCAGACCTTCAGCAAGTATACAAAGCAAAAAGAAAGGGAAAGGAAAATACAATTAAAGCATTAACTAACTAAATCATTATGTTGTCATGTGCTTAATAGTTTATGACTTGCTTGATTTAGATACTGGTCAATTTATAGACTTATTTATTGGTTCAGTTTTGGTTTTATCTTTATATTTTAGTTTTATATTGTCAAACTTTATACAGTTTAAAAGAACTATTAGTACTCATCGTAGATTTTTTGATGCTTCTTAGGATGCTGCAGTATACTTAAATGAAGGACTTGACAATGACAAATTTGATAATCATCCAACACGTAGAACAATACAATGGTACAACATAGCCCACAGCACATGGTACAACATTTTGGACTTGATGGCATCAACTTTGTTATTAAGCTTAGCACTTACTGAAAAGACTAAAGTTGAAACTGTCCCAACAGAGGATGTTTTAATACTCCCAGTTCCTGTAAGTGATATTCTAGCTATGACAATCATTCTGTTGCTAGATGCTAGCTTATAGTTATAATTATGACTAGATTCTTTTATGAAAAGAACAGAACAAGGACAATGTATGGAGGGGGACATTGGAGGGGGGAGGGGGGGATCTAAACACTGTAGGTTTACTTTAATACTAGAACACAAACACTGCATCCAACACAATTTACCATCACCACAGTGCACCACAGGGTGTGATTTTTTTATCACAACACCTCAATAAAAATTGCCCTAACATTGCAAACCTAAATGTCCTTCTCTGTATGTATGCCATATATTAGGAAGAAACCCACAATTTCTAACTGTAATGGTCCTTTCCAAAATTCTCTTGAGGGAGCATGAAACAATTCTTTTATCATTAGTATTGAATCTTAGGAAGGTCCTAGCCCTTTCTGCTCATGACACCAAATCATTTCAAATGCCATCAGGATAATTACTATCTGATAGGGAGGGCTCAATAGGGATGCTTTAGGTTCTTATTGTAATGAACATACTGTAAAGCAATCGTAGGTGTGTTAGACTGATCCAACCAGTTAAAAGGGCTGTCAATTACTGCTAGCATTAGATGTGAACTGAAAAGCATGCTTTGTTGCCATAACTGAGCAAAGCTTGCTATAACAAATGCAAGGGAGAGGGGTTTCTACCTCCCGTTCTCAGAACAAAAATTGCTGATTGTGTTATTTATTGAGGCAAAGCTTATATAATCATATGTATCAGCCTATAGCATGCTACACATGCCTTTTGTTCCTAGATAGTAGGTAGTGCTACATTCTTTTTTTTAATACTAATATCCTGTTCCTATCCCAAAGGTCAGTCAACCTGATTTGGATATTTTATACACATTTTAATCATTTATGGGTTAACAGGTGCATGGTGTAATGGAAATATTAACACTGACAATTATTGCATGTGGAGTTTTTATCAAAATCAAGTGGCAGGGAGTAAAGTCATTTTTTACTCACAAAAGATCCTTGTTCAAAGTAAGTTGTTTTCAATACATTTTGTCTGCATGTAAATGTATAGTTCCAGAAAATATTCATACCCCACTAATTAGAAATTCTGGAGGGGAAAGGGGTCAGAAGAAAAAAAAAACTACAGAGTTTGTATGGAAGAAAATTGGAAGTTCCTGGGGGTTGGGGGTCCTTTACAAATTCCCTCTGTATCAAGGGTATGGATCTTTACTGGAACTACACAATCATCATTTCTAATGTTTGTTCAAAAAGAAATAAAATACTTTAGTTGCCGTTTTTTATTCAAAAAATGTACTGTAGTAATACCAAATTCAACAAATATTTTGATTTTTCTTTCCAGTTTATTGTTTTATGTATTGTGTATATTGAAGCTATAGTGGTATTAATACGAAGTGAGAATCATATCAGAATTACTAGAGCACTACGCCCCCTATTTCTGATTGACAGCGAATACCTGAAAGGAACTAGAAGGTAACTAGTACATCTGACAGTGCTTATCTATAGGAGAAATACTTTCTTTTTTGGTGATTTTGCATTTTAAATATAGTAAATTAATTTATAATGATTTAAGAAATAATTGAAATTATTACGTTATTTTTTGTTACTATACTTTCTTCACTTTTTTAGGGTTTTAAGACAAATACTATTCTCTCTTCCTCGAATTCTCGGTATTGTGCTGTTGCTACTATTTTTCATCTTTATATCTTCAATGTTGGGTAAGATATAAGTTTTTATATTTAAAAATTAGCTGCCTGCATGCCATTATGATAACTCCTATAACCCAGTGGGATATGCACCTATCCATGGATCTCAGCCATTGATAACCACTATGTATATACCCAAACCCAAAATCAAAATTGAAAAGAAAAAATTTCTGTATTTTTACCTCTAAGTTTAAATAATTAAGAGTTAAAGTGTTTCCTCTGTATTTACATAGGCTTCTATTTATTTTCTTCTAATACTAAAGATGAGGTGAGTATGACAATGCGCAATCTATTCATTCTTACAATATTTGTTCTAGGTTTATCTAGCCATGCAGTTTAGCATGCTGTTCATATGTATTATTATGCTATTACTGTTACTGTTTATTTTGTTTATATTTTAGTACTTTGCAACTTTTGAGAGAAGCTTTGTCAGCCTGTTTGTACTCTTAACCACTGCAAAGTATGTTTTAATTATTGAAATCCATTTTTATATAATATATTGGTTATATACTGAGATGAATATTGTATTTAAAAGACAACTGCCAGAGAGACATATAAGGGATATTGCCATGGAATACTGTTCAGTTTTTAGAAATTGATTTTTTCCCCTTTAAAGACTCATGGCTAGTGAATCGTTGGGTTTCACTAGCCATAGCGTTTTACATAAAAATATATATTGCTACAAAAATTTACTACCAAAATTCTATTTTAGTAGTCAATATGGGTATTAAATTTGAAAGATTCACTAGCTAAAACAAAAAATCACTAGTATTTAACTAGGCTGGTATTATTACTTTAAATTATAATACTTTTTAATGTAATGATAATTTAATTCATAAACATTTTGTAATTATTTTTATATTTTTTTTTTTCATAGCTATCCTGATGTAATGATGCCATCCTATGCCATGTCTCGCTGGTCTGTCATATTCTTTGTCACTTATGTTTCAATAGCTATATACTTCTTAATGAACTTGGTAAGTTACTTCATACCCAGAACACTGATTCCAGGATTTCAAATCTGTTAACACTAATATCAATATAAAGAGTTATCCCTTGCATTGCAAGTCTACTCTTCATCTCTTGCATGTCTAGAGGCCATGCTGCTGACTTTCGAATAACTGGAAATTCTGTAGTGACCTGGTAGATGGAGCATTCAGAGGTCTATGCTTGAGTTTTGAGTGACATAAATTATAAAACTAAGGGACCATTCATTATTTATGTCTAGGAGGAGCTGGTATAAGAGAGGGTGCCTGCAATATAATTTACAGGGAAAGAGGGGTGAGGGGGTTAGTATAAGAGTTGGTCTCTTGATTATTTTTTCACAAAGCACACAGAAACATGCAATTTGTGTGGGGTCTAAGAATTTCCAGCTACCCAACCTCACCCCATCCCTCCCCAAACCACAAAAGCCCTAGACATAAATAAATTGTCCCTGAATGAGTTTCCTACACAGCCGCTATGCAGCTGCATAGGAAGCTATCCCTAAATGCCCTCAATTAAAAGTTTGAAATTATGTAATCAATTCATTTTAAAAACATTTTCACAGCTACTTGCTGTCGTTTATGAAGCTTTCACAAGCATAGAAAAGAACAAGTTTAGAAAGTTGTTTCTCCACAAAAGGCATTCAGCAAGACATGCCTACAGTTTGCTTTGCGATAAGAACGTAAGTATTCACAGTGTGTGATAATCATTTTATTTGCAGGTTAATTTTCTATATGAAGAAATGTATGGCTATTATTTTTTAATATTAAAAGGTTTAGTGAGCACTGGATGTTCGAGACAAGATAAATTATATACGACTAAAAGAACCTTTTCATGTTTTTAAAAGCTTTAGTTAACAACAACTTTAAGTTTGAATTTGAATATATTTTTCCCTTCAGCCTCCACATTGGATAACACTTCCACAATTCCTGGGGCTCATGAAATTCTTCAAGCCAAAACACGGTACGAATGAGAATATTTTCTAACAATATTTCAAAGAATGTCAAAGATGACAGAGTATTCTTTGCTTTTCAGATGTCCTGCAGAATTACCTCGTATATAAATCGCTTGAGAAGGACGTTAAAGGCGGTCTGAAGTAAATATGAATAGATAATTTACTGTCTTTATGTATTTACTAACCTTCAATAAAAATGGCTCCCGGCGTTCCTCYTCGTAACGTTGGATCGCGATGCCTTATATCTTCTTGACGCGCGCGCGAACCGAAAATTCGCGCCATTTTTCAAGTTAGAACTCCCATAGGAAGCCCAATTTAGATGAAAGTTTAAGATTAAAATAATATCAGAAAAAATGCACTTTATTGAATATTTTGTATTTAAGGCCAATATAGTATYCTCCATAAACAAAAACGAATGGGAAAATCAAACAAAACGCAGTACAATATTTTTTTTCGTGTGCATTGGTTTCTCCACAGGAAGCCCAATATATTTAATATAATCACCCTCTCCCCACACAAATTAAATGATAAGAAAATTCACGCTTTCTGGCATTTGCTATTGTGCTAAAAAGTTGGTTTTATAATGTTTGCACCTATTAACTTGTATTCGAATCAAGATATTTCTATTTGTATGCAGTTTGGAAGAATTTTATGAGGTYTTTGAGAAAAGAGAACTTGTATGGAGAAAGGTAAATAGAAGTATTGCAGCTTTGAACAGGAATAAATTTTTATTTATGGTACATGCTCACTGCTATCAACCAACATGATGTCCTGATGTTGCCCTGATGACCTCAAAGGTGTATCCACAGGAGGCAAATCTCTTTGGAGTTTGAAAATAGTATGTAAGGATTAATCAAATCTAAAAAGGACACTATATAAACTATCTTTGTAGGTAATAAGCACCACACCCTTGTTGCATCTGCTGCTGGACCTTGCAACATGAAATTCTGATTGGATAATTAGAAATTTTGCCCACTGGGATTGGTTCAATTAGTGCTTTGCTATAATCCCCATGGGATGGCAGGAATGTAAAATGGAATTGAATGGAAAAAATAGTTCTCTTCGTTAATCATTGAGCTGTTTACTTTTGCTCATCCCCTACTTTAATTTTCTTCATATTTTCTCTTTTACTCTGATGCAGGACTAATGTGTGAAACCGTAGTATAGTTAGGAACCTTTTTTGGTGTACCAAGACCACAAGATGCATCCAGTGGTCATTTCTCATAACAAAATTTTATTTGTTCTAGGTCTCAGAGCATGATGATGAGTGGTTTCATTGCTTGGCCCATAAGAGGGGATGTCGTAGTCTTCATTACACTTTAAAAGGTGAAATACTGTTTATTGAATTGATTGACGAGTTGTGAATTTTTTATATAGCAATAATTTTAGTATTTATCTTGGTTTTTGATTTTTCTTTTATATTTATATGTATTTTGTGGAACATACATAAGGTTTTGCTTTTACGCCAATATTTTAGCCTGGCGTAATTATGTGGCTGATTAAATCTTATAGGTATCCATTGGCTTGTCACTAGCAAAGCTTTTGAAATTTTTATCTGTAAGTACATATTGCAGGAATGTAGTGTGTGTGTGTGTGTGTGTGTGCGTGGGGGGGTGAGTAATGTTAGCATAATTATCATTAGTCAAGTTCCTGTTAAACTGTAATTTTTCTGCTGGGTGCCAGACTGTGTGTGTGGGAGTAGCCCGCATAGCGGCTCTCAAAGGTGTTTGGGAAGGGAAGTGGGGAGGGGAGAGGAGGAAAGGGGAGGGAAGGGGAAAGGAAGAGCCAGCTAGTGTGAGAGGGAAGAAGGGATGCATACATTTGGTGCTAAGTATCAGTTGAATCCACAGGAGCCATTTAGTAGCAAAGATAGTAGCTTATCAGTAATAAAATAAAAACCTGAAGTTTAGCGGGGTGTCCAGCCCTCGCTCTCCACACCCCTTCCTGAAACAGGAAATATTTTTTTAAAATGTTGCAACAACTTGGATTAAGTTTTCAGTCTTGCTAACATCATCATCATGTGAATTAATTAAACTAAGCTAACGACAATGTTAACGAACAAAACTAAATTATTTCATTCCTTTTATTACGGGTACATGGTAATAATATAGGGGGCATGCTTTACATAGAAAACTACGTTAATTTTATAAATGATAATAAACTTATCTTTTCAGACGTTGCAATCGTGGCAAATGGCTKTTCGTTCGTTTATGAGATTGTGATGCTATCAAGTAGGTCCAACACTTATGTTAAAATAAATATGATTCATCAAATAATTAAATTATCATCAATAAATATTATTAATTATAAATAAATCTCATTTAGCGAATGGCTATCTGGTTGCGCAAAGTTACAGAAGAAAGAACTGCTCGGGGGACGCGGTAAATTTTGCCACTGGAAAGAGAGTGTCCCGGCGTAATTCTTGCTGCTCCAAACCTCTAAATAAGTGCGGTATAAAAGTCTTTTTCCTCCCGCCCTGATACGAATGATTGCGCAACGCGTCTAAGATTTCGCGCTAACTAGCAAAAACTAGCTAACTGGAAATGTTGAAACGGTTTTCAAAAATGTCAAGGATTGCAGTAGAAAATAACGAGAAGGCGAGAAATCATTATATAGTAGTCCCCATCCAATCCCATCCAAAGGATTGCAGTAGAAAATAACGAGAAGGCGAGAAATCATTATATAGTAGTCTGTTCAGTACAGAATATGCGGAGAAGCATTATCAAGATTTATGCTTTTAAAAATATCTCCAATTAATGATAAATTAAATGACGTACTTTTAAATGCAGAGGCTCCTGCTAAAGAGAGAAAATTAGACGCTTTGCACAGCCATTGGTACAATATTCTCTTTATTTCAAGTAAGTAAAAAAAGAATGATTTTACCCCTACAACACGAGAGCAGTCGTATCACTTCTTACTGTCGTAAACTGTTTGCGCTTTAGTTTATGGGACAGAAGCGTTTCTGAAGCTGCTTGGACTTGGTATCAKACGATACTTTCATTCTGGTTGGAACTGGTAAGTAAACGATTTGTTACCGTAACCGTGTATAATCAAAACTGTCCTCGTTAGAACTAATATTAGTCGTATTCCTTGGTACAAAATCTGGACCTCATGTCCGGGATTCCCCATTTTCCAGTTGATTTTTAAAAATGGCAATCACAATGTTCCATCTTTTCCGCACTTTTCTTATCCAAAGTCTCCTTGATGGCAAAATCGTCCTCCTTTTTGTGTCCATCTTGTTTCCATCTTTTAGGAGGGGGAGGGGGGGGGGGGGGTTCTACACGCGCATGCGCAACTTTCCATTCAAAGGAAATCTTTTTAATTTTTTAAACTGTGTTACGCATAATTTATTTGAATTATATATTCAGTTCAGTATATTTGTAGGTAATGCTTCTTATCAGTAACATGAACTGTTTTTCTTGTCGTAGGTTTGACTTTATAGTTACTGTTCTTGGTATAGCTGGGTTGATCGGTGCGGCCGCCAACAGCTTTTCATTTGCATTCATTGTTTGTCTCCGACCACTGCGACTTTTACKGTAAGTTATTAAAACTGCTGTATCTTGTAAGCACACAAAAACATCGTTGAGCTCCTCTGAAGGTTTGTTATATTGTTGATAAAATATTGTGTTGTTAATTCAAAGGCTTTTTAAACTCAAACAAAGATATCGAGATGTGTTGGATACGATGTGGGTTTTGACACCAAGGATGTTCAGGTATTTCACATATTTTGCTTGTACTTGAGATAGGGAGTCCTGTAGTTGCTGTACCCCTCCTTCTCGTCCTCTTGGGATTAAAAAACCTTCTCTTAAGAAAGAGTATAGTAGACAGAAAAATCATATATGGCGGTTCCCCTTGCCACGTGGAAATTCATGAATACAGGTTCCCTGTAACAACGAACAGATTCTCTTAAATATTTTTCCTTATCAACTAGTAAGTTAGAGTTGCGTGTACAGATATTAAAATAGAAATAAATGTATGAAAGGAGTAAAAGCAGATTCAATAGCTGTCGTGCAGTAAACTTGTAAATGATCAGTTTAGTTCAGATTAGAGCAGGACTCATTCATGGCGTCATTTGACTCCCGCTACCAGAATCCTTTGCACACTTCCTTTTGTTCAGTTAATTAGCACTAATTTTCTTACTATTCTTATGAGGAAATACAAATTCGATTAAGAAAGAAAATTCGTGAAGCATCTTGCTTATAGAGGGAGTCAAATGACGCCATCATATAAGCGTCCTGGAGTAATTTTACTTGACTGTGAAAAATTGTAAGCATAATGCATAGTATTACACATTTATTCCATTCTTTACTTTTGTTTTATTTACACTGCTAGTCACTAACTATACAACTGTATTTCACCGGCCAAGTAAAATCACTCTATTCTATTCATACTTTTTGATTGTTCAATCTTGACAGAGTGATACTGGTCATCATGTGCCTCTACTACTCATTCGGTATCATTGGTATGGAGTGTTTTGCTGGTCTTGAATTGAAAAACTGTTGCGTGTAAGTGCAGCTGCATCAATGTTACTAGGGTCTTAGCGAAGGAAACACCCCCCCCCCTCCCCCCTCCCCCACCCACTCCTCCAAAAAAAACATTTTTTCTTTTTTCCTATTTCAATCGCCTACCTTTTAATTTGGCGGGAATTTTCGCGCCAAAACGCCTATGCTCGCACCTCTACCTCTGCTACTCTCGCTATGCTTCTGACCCCTGAAATATTTGGTTTTCTTGCTTTCGTTGTCTTTAAAACTAAACTCATGTGGAACATGTGACTTAGAGAGAGAGAGAGGGCGCGACACCATAGACTTTCACTTAATCACATGATATTTTTTATAAATTGAAACTAATCCTGAGCAACAGCAAAAAGCTGGACTATATCAGTATAGTTGTTGAACCCTATATCATATGTAGCTAGAGTTGTTTGTTTGTTCTATTCGAGATTCATTTTTTTAAACCAGCTTAATTGTTCTAGAAATTGGGAAATGGGAAGCAGGGTGGCGTGCGCTGCTAACGCGTCGCCTCTCACCAATGCGACCCAACGAACCAATGTCGTATGTGAGTAGAGTTGTTTGTTGGTTCACTCCTGTGCTTCGAGGGTTTTCCTCCGTGTTCTCTGCTTTTCCTCCCTCCACAAAAATCGACTTCTGCATTTTAATTCGATCTATTCACCTTATCAATTGAATTGCAAAACCTGTCCGGCATCAAGCTGTCCAGCCAGGAGTGGTAAACAAATTAGAAATTATGATTTGATTAATAGCATCATAACCTTAAACCGAGGAGAAAATCCAATATTGATACCTGACAATTGGATTGTTTTATTTTTATTAGGAACATATCAGTCGGTCCAAGCTTCGAGGAAGGTGGTTACTATTACTTAAACAACTTCGACAACCTCCTACATGCAGTCGGTGAGTAACAGTACATGTACGAAGGATGATTAGTCTTGAGATCTCAGAGTTGCATGGACCTTGTACAGGGCGGTTCCCATGGGTGGACCTCGGAAAGAGCGGTTCCCATAGGTGGACCTTGGACAGGGCGGTTCCCATAGGTGGACCTTGGACAG